AGAGATTTTCATGGCAAAACTCAAAAGATGCTGTTTTCAAAATAATGGCTTTCACCCAGCACATAAAATACCAAGGGCACAATTCCCTGCTCCTGAGCATGGACTGGGGCTTTTTACATCTCAAACAGGAGTTGAGGATTTAAAGTCTTTTTTCAGCAAATATTTCATTAGTCATACCAACAAGGAACAACTGGGAACAGCAAAGCAACTAACTCAGAGCTAGAGCTTGGACTCAGACACTCTGCAGACAGATTATTCAGTCAGTGAGAATTCTTACCACACAGACAAAAATGAGATCAAAAAAACTCAGCCATGGCTTGGAATTCTTCTGGTATGTGGCACGACAGCAGAGAAGTCTTTGAAGTTGCCTCTCTCATTCCATGAAGAGTTTTTAAGGGTTACTTTTTGTTGTCATTCTCCTTGGTTGCCTCCATCCTGCCCGAACGAGGAAAAATCTGCTCCCAAAAAGATGGGGCACTGAATATTATTTCCTGGCTAGACCAGGCTAAAAGATTCATTTTTTTGTTTATTTCTCAGTTTAGCTTAAAATAACCTTGCTGAGCAAACTCCTCTTTACTGACTTCAAGTCAAAACATCCCAGTAATGATTCTATGTTTTTACTGTAATTCCCTCTAATCATCCCAGCACAAAAACTCTGCTTGTTTTCATATCTGCTTTACACAATGCCACCAGTAATGAATGTTCTAGAATTGGAACATAATTTTGATTCTCTGGCCATTACTTTTGATTTATGGAGCACAGAGACAGCTGGGTTTTTATAAGCTCACTGTGCAGTGCTGCAGATAACAAATGGAATGGAATAATTAAACTCCTGTAATTTGGAACAGAGGAGTGGGCCTACAGATCTGTCTACCTATATATACCCAGCCCATACAAACAAATTTTATCTTCCAAAATAGGTATAAAAGCAATTTCCACAATGCTACTGTTCTCTGTGTCTAACCAGAACAAATTATGTTGCTCTCAGAACCAGGATTTGGGCTCTTTGGGAAGGGGCAAACCACCCAAAGGTGATTCTACAACATGATATAAATGAGATTTACAAATGTAGGGGTGTTCAAAAGAAGAAAAACCTCTCAAAAGAAGCATATTATAAGAAATTGTAGTAAATATAATCCATTGGGAATGAAGGAAGATTTTTGTTTGTTTGTTTTCCCTGGGTGCCACACAGGGAAATAGGAATTTAACAGGAATGTTCCCCATTAGAAGGAAAAAAAAATCAGGCACAGGTTGACCATTTAGTTCAGTTACAGGAGAGTGATCAAAGGTCTGAGAACAGCAGCAAAAGAGCTTGTTTTGGAAACTGAAAATGGGGAAGGGGAAGCCAGAAAGATTCTCTCAGGCTACCCAAGAGAACTAGGAAAGCAGATTTTGTTAATGACAACCAAAAGGGCTTCAAAAATACCTAGGAGGAGCTGGAAATGCAGCAAGCAATGAGAGTAATTCATAAACCAGAGAGCATTCCCTTCATGAGTGAGATGAAAATGGTCCTAAATACTTCCTAAAAATTCCATGGATGAAATTTGATTGTAAGTAGCTACTGGCAGTGGCTGCATTCTCTCATGTTCTAGAAACCCACAGAGGTGGCCTGGGAAAAATACTGTTTGAGACAGTAAATACTGAAAAAAAAGGAAGAAATGTCTTCTCAGCCACGTTGAGGATAAATGCTCAAGTCTATAGAGAACCAACCAAACCAAAATTAAGATTTTGATTCTCTGGGGCTCTAAACTGAAGAAAAACCAGGCAAGTTTGGTGCTGTAAAGTACCCCAAGTAGGAAGGGCAGCAGCACGACATCAGGAGCTCCAGAGTAGAGGCATCTCCAAGGTCTCCATCGTGCCAAATTTGCTGCTTGGTCAGTAGAGAAGCAGCAGGTTGGCTGGAGAGTGCCTTGCATTGATTGATCAAAGGGTCCCTGACAAGTGGGACATTCCCTATCCATAGTTTAGAAGGCACCTTCAGTCCCTGTGGGAAGCACTTGGCTTTTTTTTCCAAAATCATTCTTCTTCTCTTCTATTTCCCAGCTGGGCTTTGCTACCAAGGCAAAAATATTTCATTATTCCTGTGACATATATTACATAAAGGGGAATGATCCTCTGCTGTAGATAAACTCCTAGGAAAGATCCTTGCCAAAGTTAAGCTTACAGAGAGAAATGTAACACAGAGGGCATGAAAAAGTAAGGACAGCACCCAAATCTAGATCATCTAGATCTAGCACAGAAGATCCAACATTGGGAATTAGGTATTGAGACATTTGAGTGACTTTTCTGCATTTTATTGGAATAATTTATATTCAAATATAATCATAAACCAATAATTTATAGTCATCAATTTATAATAATAATTTATAACAATAATGAAGTAAAAGCAGGGACTTTGTTTTCACAGTCCTGATGAAGAAAGGGAAATCTACTACTCCTGCTAGAAGGAAAGCTCCTTAAGAAGACAGAGGCACTTCTGTAAGATAAAAATTGGCAGTGGCTTACCTGAGACATCATGAATGACTACAGACAGGTTTGAGAAACCCTTTTTTGGGATGTGTGTCCCATCACCTAGACATGTTCCCTTAAGGTAAATGGGACCATGGCAGTGTACATATAAATGTTCTTCAGGGTAAGGAATTTGGTAGGGTTCAAAAAAATACTACAGACCAAGAAGGAGAAGTCCCATGAAGCAGATTTCGTGTAGCAGAAGAGTGACTTTGCTACTTTGGCACCAGAAGAAGATAATTTGCTGTCTAAACCATTTTTGTTCCCAGCTGAGAAACACCTTTTGTCTGCAGAGCAGAGCAGAACAGACACAACCATCTTCCATTTCAAATTTACACGAGCTGATGAACACTTTACAAAGCAGAATCAAGCAAGACAGCCTCACTTGGACTAAGGGGAAGAAGTCAGTGCTCATTATCTGCCCCAAACTGATTTATGTCATTTACTTTTTGTACTCAGGATGATGACAGTGAGCTTTACAGCCTGCTTGTAGCAGTGCTACAGCACAGCCAAGAGCACATCAGCACCAGCAAAACCACCATGCAGGAGCTCAAATGGCACTTGGGGTTCAGCTACTTGGAAGGGAGAATGACAAGTATGTTTTAGACTCTTGTGGGATGAGGTTTAACATCCTTCATCCATACTTGCTGGTCACAGAGGTAATGGAAAGCTAGAACCACCCACATGTAAAGCTTTGTGTATCTATCTATCCCCCCAAAACACCCTGATCCACCTTTTTCACCCCTGAAGATCAGAAGGACATAGGCAATGAAGGACTATCACTGAAAAACAAAATACAAACTGTAGAAAGGCTAAGATGGGAAAGTTCCTAAGGCCTGATTTCTTGCCAGGAACTTCCCCTGGATACAGCATCTACAAGACAGATATAATATATATCACTGCCAAACCTCATTTCCAAACCAGGCTGCCAGAATTCCCCAGGACAACTGCAGGGTCTAAAGTTCAGCCATCCTCTTTTCTCTCAGTGCAGCCCTCTGACAGGGATTTAAGCATTTATCAGAGGTACAAAACCTGGTCACACATTTCTAGAATAAGAACCAACCTGCAGCTTGATGAAAGAGAATCAGTTCAAACATCTTTTTTTTTTCCTTGTAGAAGCATTTGAGATGCATAAAAATGATTTCTCCTTTGTTCTGTTCAGCAGACCTAATACTGACCTAACACTAGGCCTGGGAACCATTGCTGCAATTTCAAAGGAGCTGTAGATAGAGCTGGAAGATTGTCTGCTCAAGATAAAGCTCCTATTGCTGTGCAAAACAGCTGAGTGCTCATAAAAAGATGACCTCTATTCCATTTCAACCAAAAAGGTGCTATAGCCCAAACTGGAAATCCTTCACAAATCTTTCCCCCTCCATATCTGTTCATGTGCAATGTCAATTAAAACTCATCAGGCATTTCCATTTTGAGGGTTTCAAATAACAAGAATTATTATGCTTAAAATACATTTAAGGCTATTGATAATTTTGGTCCCTGGAAAATCAAGGCTTTGTTACAGCATCAAGCTGGTTCTGAATGTATGAGGTAGCAGCCAAGGCATGCAGATGCTGGAGGACTGGACCCCCATCTGAGAAGGCTGCTGCCTCTCAACTTCCATCAGGAGCAAGAGGAAGACAAGAGACACGCTCATCACAGTGCAGAGACAACTCACATGTGGGATTAATGGTCCCCCATTCAGATTTAAGGATTTCCCTCTGAAGTCCCAGTTGAATTTTGTCAGTTTGAGTGCTGTGCCAGTCTCAGCACCTGCATCCCCCTCCTGCTGCTCCAGCTCCCTCAGGTGACTGAGGAATTGGGGTGTTTCTGCTGAGCTTGAGCTTCACACTGCTCACAAGGAGGACCTTAATGGGTGTAGATGGAGACATGAAACCTGAGCAGAACTGCTGTAACCTAAATGTTTGCTTTGTTAGCAAAGAAATCATTGTCACAGCTTAGAAACATGGTGAGCAATGACTCATCTTCTAATGGGGCTTCTTGATAAAGCTCCAGGACAGTGAGCACCTCCTTGAAGGACATCATCTGATGAAGTTAACAGGGGATTGTCTTTACCTCAGCCCAAGGAAGTCCAGGAGGCAGATGACTGCCACCATCTCCAATTTATTTAGGCAACCCACAGCATCATCACACCATCATTCAACTATCAGTCTAGAAATGAGCCAAAAATGATGCAAGCTGTGTTATTTAGATAATGCCCCTTCAACCACAGAGCCAGACGTGGAGCTGCACATTTGGAATTCCCAGAAATGGCACAGCCCATTTTGCTTTTACCCAGGAACTTGCCTTCCAAATTCCTGCCAAATTTTCTCCTGTATGCAGCTTATTTTCAGTCCAGCAGTATGAAATGCTAAAGAAATGCACCTAACCTCAACCAAACTCAAAAAGCAATTCATGTTCTTCTTATTCACTCTACTCAGGGCTGCCCAGGTAGGAGGAAAAACCAAAACAAACCAAAAAGGCAAACCGAGCACCAGATCCAAAATTAGCATTTTATTCAGAACGTTGGGGTCAGAGGTGTTTCATTCATATTCTGGTACACAATACAGAGGCAAAGCTGTTCTCAGAAGTCTCTCCAGTTTGAAAGCTCCTTCCCCCTTCCCTCCCTGTCCCCAAAACATACTGGATATTTAGTCGTGCCACCTGTATCAGGCCAACTTCCCCTCCCTCCTCCCCCCCACCCCTTTGTTTATTTTTTTTTTAGTACAAATTAGGTAAAACTATTGTGCTAAGAACTTTTCTCCCTCCCCAAACGAACCAACAAAAAAAAAAAATAATAAAAATAAAAATTAAAAAAAAAATCTCGAGTACTCTAACTACAGTTCAACAATTGAATCAATGTCACTTGTTTGCAACCTGTTTTTGTAAATACTTTATCCATAACGAAAGATATAAACATGCAAAAACCTGAATCCATAGTCCAAATAATACATACACGTGTTCTGAAGTTTCTGCACTTCTCCACAGACTATGCCAATAAAACATTATGTACACATACCATTTTTTACAGTGAAGTGGGGAAAAATAAAAGACTAGAAATGAAAATAAAAAGAAAAAAAGTGTACATGGATTAAGACCAAAATGTGTCTAACATCCTAAAGCAAGAGGAAAAAAAAAAATAAACCAAACCAAAAGATCAATTCTGCTACAAACTGGTGATATGAAAACTCCCTTTATTTGCAACCAGCTGCATTAAGTTTTAGAATTTTAGTGAAAAAAAAAAAAATCCTCTCAACATCTAAAACTAGAAGTAATGTACATCCACCTCAGGGTCTTCTTTTCCCAGACAATAAAATTGCCCCATGAGGATTTTATATTCTTTTTTTTTTTTGCTGATTTTTCCATCTCCTTATTTTAATAAAAGCAATGCGATGTAACAAAAGCATGTTGAAGCCTATTGTGTTTCACCTGACTCCTCCCCACCCCAACATATTTTGTCTCTTTAATGCATCATATCTCATAAATCAGTACCATTAAAGCCTTAAACATAAAACTAATTCCCATCTGAAAAAGGTACAAAAAGGCACATAAAATCCCAGTGCTTCTGTACTGTAAAATTCAAGTGTAACTGAGCTCAATACTTTTCATTTTTCCAAACAGCATTGGATCACTGATATTCCACGGAGCCCAAATTGGTTTGCAGCCTAAGCCAAAGCCTTCAGCAAGCACTTGTGCTAGTAGACTACAAAGTTAAAGCCTAGCTTCTGTATGCTTTTTGGGGAATATCAGTTGAAATGTTTGTACTTGTCCAAAAATAAAGTTCACTTTGAAGTTCAGTCGTCGCCTCCACCATACATATCAGCCAGTTTCTTGAAACGTGGGCCCCAGTCATTTAGGTAGTCATAGTCTTGCTCACCACCACTACTGGAGGAGTTCAGAGAGCTCAAGGATCCAGCCGTGGAGCCACTGCCTTCATAGTCAAAGACTAAGAGGGAGTCATATGGTGGGGCTGTGGGGTCGTTGTCGGCTGCTTTGAGTCCCTGCAAGGAGGAGGAGGAGGAGAAAAAAAAGATCAAGTTCTGCATCTGAGAGAGAGACAAAACATAGCTGCAACATCCCAGCACAGTTAAATATCAACTGCCACTTCAAACCAAGTTGCTGCTCCTCTGCAATTCTGTTCCAAAGAGGATTCATGTTTTTGTTGTGAGAAAAAGATGCAATATGCTGCCTTAGCCCTTATGTGCTCTGCTGTCACCACCCATAAGGTTCCACCTGCTCTTCAGAAAACACATGAAGTGAAAGCCAAGGACAAGACTATAACCATTTTTTGTTTCCTCATTTCAAAGCCTTCAAGTTATTGACACATGAATATTGGGTCTTCAAGTAATTTTCAAGTTCTACTCTAAAGCTGAATAACCCAAACTAATCCCAGCACAAACAGAGAGACAAGTAGGGGAAGAATCACACTTCTTCCAGAGAAAAGTCTTTCCCTCCCTCTTTCCTCACACAGCTCCAGACTTAAACAATCAGTTTAATTTTAGAACGTGGGACAACTGCTCTGTGCTTCTCCTGGAAAGATTTATGAGTTGAATATAGAAGATTGGAGCCTGAAGTTAAAAAGCCTTCTTGTTTTGGATATTTCAACCTTGCAGTATCTGCCATGGGATTAGCAACGCTTCCTCAAGATCTCCACCTCGAGCAGGATCTACTCTGGCAGTCACTGACAAGGGGATAATCCACCTCTGAGGCTGAGCTGAGATTTTAAATTGCTGTTGATTTTAACTGGTGCCATTTCATGCTGGTTTTAGTTTTTAGGTTTGTTTATGGCTTTATTATACTCACTATTATTTACAGGGTTGAGCGTGCCTCCAAATTATTTATACTCTGGGTTTAGAAAAGTATGTTTTACCCTCAATTGTTTGTGACACAAAGGAGATGGAGGTTGTTTCTTCTTCTAGAAATACATAGGTAGCTAAACCCATTAATTAAAGCATATGGCACTGATAAGACAGAAGAGAATCCTGGTTCTTTATTGCCTGCCTAAAAATCACTCAGAAGGGTGCAAAACGAACCCAAACTAATTTTGCAAATCAGTGGTGGGAAGGCCCAGAATATTTATCAAACTAATGCCCTCTAATCAAGAACACATTTTGGGCTTCAAATGATTGTTTCATGTAGTACGACGACATCAAGCAGGTTATTAATAGCATGCATCAGAAGCAGAATTTTGAATTATCTGATAAGAATAATTGGCAAACGCTCGTTATCTTTTGAGTTTTCCATCCTGATGGCTGTAATGAGCACAGAACAGCTGAGATTCCAAAAAGGCAACAGCAAGTTTTGGAAGGCTTCCCTTATCCAACCTCAGAGGTGGAAATAGTTCTAAGGTTTTCTCTCCATTTCTGCTGCTCAGGCAGAAATTCAACTTTACTTCTTTGGCCTTTTGGTATTTCCACCTTCCCTTAAGCCTGCTTGGGGTGACAGACACCCATCCTTTCAAACACAGGGGACTGGGAAGAAGAATAAAAACCACTTGAGCTTCAGGAGTGCTGAGGTATGAATCCCAGGCATCCGTGGGTGAAAGTCATTTAGAAAGCCAGCTTGGAGAAGAAATGCAATTTCCCTGCAGCCCTGCCTGGTAACCCACAGGATGCTGATTTATTAAAAACCAGTGAACAAAAGCATTTTCCTCTTGAAATTCTGATACCTATCAGCTATCCATGGCAAGAAGACAGGCAGCCTCTTTCCACCCTTCCTTCCAAAGGGGAAGCTGGATTATTTTCTTTTCAACAGCTGCTATCATGAGGAGTATTTAAAAAGAAAACTAGTTTTGAGTGACTGACTGACACGATAGCATCTCACTAAGAAATTCACTATTTCTTATTCTTCTTGGAGGTTCACTCTATCAATAACCATTTACCAAGAATGAATTGAGGGTCCTCCATGTCCTCGTGGGATGAGACCTTTAATTTGCAATTTAAATCTCCTTTACCTCAGGCTGTGTCCTCTATTGATTAGAAATATAGCCTTAGCCACAACCTCTCCACCACAATAGAAGTTGTCTGAGATTTCTAGGGACAGCACGGGCAGCTCTTGAAAACCTGATTAACAAAGCTACTTCAACCAGCCCTGATTTACACTGTCCTGTAAATCCTCACTGCTCTAACTGCTAATTATGCTCCACGCTCTGCAGGTTATGTTTTAAAAGGCTCAAAATGGAAAACAAGGTCTACAGAGGGTTCTTAATAACACATGAGCTACTTCACTGACTTGTTTGTACGCTGGACTGGAAGAAAAGGAGGTTGTTCCCTTCCCCCCTTAAATTAGAGATTCATCAACTCATTGAAACAGACAAAACAAGAAAGTCCCCGAGGTCATTTAGCTTATGCCTGCAAAACATATTTTGATTATAAGGCACCTCTGGAACCTTCTTATTTTAGAAAGTTCTGTGTGTGTTATCTTACCTTTGGAAGCACTCTAAAAATACTCAAAGCTTTTCTCCTACTTGTAATTTGGTTTTCAACTGAGGAGTCAATAGGACACTACAAAAATACTCACACTTGGGTATGTCTCATTGAGTTAAGTAGGTTTAATGCAATGGAGGACAGCTAGAAAATAATATACCAGAAGAAATAAGAGTACTGGAAAAAAGGAAAGAAACAAACTGATCCACTATATCTTTTTCACTCTTCTTTTCCCCCCCTATGACTCTGTAATAAAGGTAAAAAGAAAAAAAACCCCACCTTGCTTGGCAATGGCAGTTAAATCCCCCAATATCTGAAATCACTGACCTATTGTTCCTTTCTGTCAAAGCTGAAGTAATTCAGAGGCTAGCCTGAACAATGCTGGCTGTGTGTCTGAGGTGCTGATGAACATTCAGGAGACTAAATGAATTCCTGCACAGGGGCCAGCATCCCAAAGGATCTCTGGGAACAGGGCCAAGTTCTCCAACAGACCAGACTGATCTCTAGAAGTCTGATCTCTTTGTGTGGGTACCATGTGCTACAGAAAGGGTTAGGTGGAATGCCCCCAGAGCAAAATGATACATTGCTGTGAAATCTTAATGAAAAAAGAAGATAAAATACATGAAACACAAACTACCTTATACAGCTCTTGTCAACCAGATGTTATAATTAATTCTGAGCTAACTTAGGAGACAAGAAAATTGTCATGTTTTCTCTAGCTGCATAGAGATTTCCAAGGTGAGTTTTATTTTAGAGACTGATATTATTGACATTATCTTCCTGTGTAAGAATAGCTGGGAGAAGCTTTCTCTTCTGGTGGGTGGCAAGTGGAAGCATGAAGGGAGGTATTGATCTAACACAACAGACAGCAGTAAGAAAGTGACTCCATGCTTGTCTGGGCTGGGTTGAATCAAGCATGGAATGTTTCTAGAGCTCCAGATGTACACAGTGATGCTACAGTCTTCAAAAGCAATAACCTCCTGAGAAAAAGTATTGCAAAAACAGCTTGCTAAGAACTTAAAAATGGTAAGTGCAAGGCAAAAATCCTCTTTGTTGAGATATCTCTTTCTGATACTGCTCTTCCCCAAACCTGGAGTCTCTTGAAATAGTGTTTTTTAAGAATATTTGTATGCTTCCTGCTAGTCAGCTCCCTGTAGGTTTTTTTAACAATTGTATTGCTGAATACCTTAAGAGGAGCAAACTCAATTTTCTGCAACTTGCTAACACCAAAGACTTTAAGTGTATTAGCCTGACTTTTATTTAAATCAAACCAGAATGAACACATTTGCTAGAACAGTTCTGCAATACTCTGGAATACCTGTCCAGTTCTAATTGCCAAAGAAAATAAGAAACTTAGAGAAAATAACTATTAATCTTCATCTCCAGAATATAGCTTATTTTTAAGCAGTAAATTTTGGGTTAGTGTTTATCTATAAGCAAACATAAGAAACATTCTCTCTCAAATTCCACAAGACTGATGATTTAAGACTGACCAGTGATAAAATAATGAAAGGAATACTGGTAGGAGCACTTCTTTCAGAGTTGTTCATGACCTGGTGTAGTCTGAACCTTACATTTATCTTTATTAGATTGAAGAATCAAAGATAATCCAAAGACTCTTAAAGCACTATGACAAGTATTAAAAGAACTTATGTAACACTTAATTTAGCTGCCCTGCTCCCTAATCGTATTGGCTGGAATTCTTTTGGTTCTTATTGAAGGCACTGAATTTCCATCATTATCTGGATTCAAAGGGTAACATATGAGGGAAATGAAAATTAACGTCTTCCATTATTAAATTACTGTGAATTAATAAATGAATTTAGGCTAAACTACAGTTTTGGTAGTCTATTTATTACTTGGAACCCATGGAATAATCCTGCTTGGAGATGCTGTGGTTGCAGCTGATAACATACTATGAATATAATTAATACAAACACACAGAAGTTAATTGATATATCTTCCCTTTCTCTTTGAATGAGTTAATTAAATTTGTCTCCACTTCAGAAGAACATATTTACTTCTATCCAGCAAGACAATTTCCTCTAAGTAAGTTTTCTAAAGTTGTTATGTTCAAACATAACAGCTACTCATGCAGAGTACAATTAACAAAACAGAAAAGCTTATCAGATCTTGGTGGGAAACACTTTTTTTCCCCTCCTTTACCTCGTTAATGAAGTCCCCAATGTCCCCAGGATGAGGAGCAGCTGATCTGACTGGATACTGAGGTTCTGCATGGATTGGCCTTTCATCAAGACGTCTGATTCCAACAGGTTTGATGGCATCTGGTTCCACAGTGTCAGGCTGCTGGAGCTGGCTCAAGTCATAATCCTGCAAAATAGGAAACCAAGACAGCACGTTAGGAGAATTTCAAACAATATCTGTCAGGGGGAACGCCAGGAGGGGGGAAAAAGGGAAAATGCAAAGTGTGATTTCACCCTAAGTCCTGTTTCCAGCATTGTAATGCAGAGGGTGAATCAATAATGTTGTTATTTGCATGCTAACAGGATGTTATTTGATTTCCACTCCCTGAATCTACCGTTTTGATTTTATCCCATCAGATTTGTAAAGTTTTCCATTGAGAAGCAAGGATTTGAGTAGGACTATTAAGAGACTAAACACTTTGCCTAGTAATGATGATTTACTGCACAGAGCAAAGATGCCAAATCCAACTCTTATTTTTCTAAGCAAATAAATGCCAGACCTTTTCATTCTGTGAAAGAGGCAGGCACAGTGCTCTGCAGCACGCTATAATACCTTCAAAGAATGAATTTAAGGCTCCTTCCCCATTTCATGTGGCTTCCATAATACGAAAGCCAAAGGGGGAAAAATAAATGTCATGAGAAGTACAAAGCTCCTCAGATTTGGCCTTAATTCCAAGCACTTTCTCAAAGATTACTTGTGGATCCGTTCATTAAGCACTTGATGCTGCAGTTTCAAACTCTGGCAGGCTGATGAAGGTAGCACAGCCCTATGAATTCCAATAAGCAGGAGGTATGTATAGAAAAATTTTAATTAGATGGATGTTTATGCATTTAAGGGAGATCAGTGTGATGCATTTCAGCATTATCATTCACCTCGTTGCTGTCATGTCTAGAAGGCAGTCGTGCTCCAGGATGCCTCTGCAGTAGGCACTGGTAAAGATGCAGGACAAAGAGCTGGGCTTAAAGGCTTAAATTAAAGTCATTCACAAGCTGCTGGAAGACTGGGGCTCATGCCAGCTCTACTGTATGCCTTGCCCCTCAAATAATCCAAGCAGTTGAGGGGCATCTCAAATAAGCTCCTGTATCATCGGTCTCAATTTTTTCAATGGTGTTGTTCTGGTAAAAAATCTTATTTATAATCAACCCCAAAC